TGTGTTAAATTATTATTTGTTTCAGTAGTTTAACTGTTTCTAAAGTACCTTATGCCTCAGTAACTCAATGAAAAGTCTGAGGGCTCACACCGCCAAAAACCAGGTTTCGATATTTGTTATGGGCACAGCACAGTTAGTCCATTGTGTAGTTTGTTATAAACAATGAACAAAAATAAAGCCCATTATCTGCACTAGTACTAGATAATAGAATTGACCGATATGGTTTGCTGATCATTTACTATTGATATCGGCCAAGAACATCTTTTTTTGTTTGTTTGTTTGCGAGTTATGGGGGCGCCATCAGCAGATGATATGCCCTCAAATTCCCTGACCTGATTTAGTTGAAATATATACTGCCATTTAACAAGAAGTTAGTAGTTACATATACTTTTTTATTATATATATTTTTTTATTTTATTATTATTTTTTTTGTGTAGTTAACTGTTTGACACTAAAATTCCTAAAATGTCACGTTACTGGGATAAAACACAAGGAAAAGTTTACACATTTAGTTCTTCTCGACTGGGGGCGACTCCAGCCATTGTAAACAAGGATAAAGGAGGTAGCCGAATTAGTAAATAGAAAGGACATTAAATTTTTATGTTATTTCTAATAACGAAGTTATATATTGCAGGATAGAGACAATTCGTAGTTAATAGAGAGTGGTAGGTAAAAGGGACTTTTATGTTACCCATCTGTTGTTTTATGGCTGCTCGATCTCTTTGATAACATGTACAGTCCATTAAAACATGTTCGGGGTCTTCAAAATTTGAACAATGATGCATTCTCCATTTGGGTGTACTTGTATTTAGTACAGATGTCCATTTAGACCTGTGCAATTAAAACGGAGGCGCGTGATAATTACTTCTTGGTGTCTGTTCGTACATTCATATTTGATGTGTGAAGAAACAACAGGAACAATTTTCTTGTAGATATTAGTAACTTGCGATGAACTCCATCTACTCTGCCAGGAATCTAAAATATATTGATAAACCTGGCCATAGAGGTCACCAAGCCCAAAAGAAACGTTTAGTGACCCCTCGGATAGGCTAACGCATTCTTGGCAAGATT